AATTCAACAAAATAACATACAGAAAAAACATTTCTTGGTACAGCAGGTCCTCAAATGACATAATTTCATTTAACATTGTTTGATAATAATGATGTTGTAGGAACCTAACTCTTGTTTATATTCATTAGCCTCAAGTAAAATAAATTTTGTTGTACCTTGTTTTCATCAGTTCTAAGAAACTATTGACATTAACTGAGGACTTACTGTACTCTTTCAATCCCTTCACTTCTCTCCATCCACTGGCTTTGTTTTGCTTTCTTTCCCAATTACCTTTCTCTGTTCTTCATTCTGTGACAAAACATGGTTGCCCCACAGTTTCTAAGATGTTTCAGTTCTGGTCACACAGAGCAGCCTCAGAGTCTCAATGCTAAAATCCTAGGTTGGAAACTGGGTGTCAGTTGAGTCCAGTAACTCAAGGAACCCGGTCAAATTAGTCACAGCTGGATGGTAGAGTTCTGTAGTGCAGCCGAGGCTGGAGGAGCCCATCACCCCTGTGCAGGAGGTGACAGAGATGGAGCAGTTCTCAGAGAGGGGGAATCACTGTAAACAGGGCAAGCACTCCGAAGTTGCTTACTTGGTAAAGTGTCTTCTATGTAACAAATGCCTAATAAAGCAAAGCAATTATGAGAAAAGCATTGAGTGACATTATCATTCTTAATTATCAGGAAGGCTCTGTATGGCGGGGAACACCTCAAAGACATTTACTGGGCAAAAATTTAAGAATGTCTTTCCTCCATGGCCCAGACTTATCACGTGATCACACTTGACCTGGGTCTTTTTTTTTTTTTTTAGAGAGGGAAGGGAGGGAGACAGAGAGAGAGAGAGAGAAACATCAATGTGTGGTTGCTGGGGGTCATGGCCTGCAACCCAGGCATGTACCCTGGTTGGGAATCGAACCTACAACACTTTGGTTCGCAGCCTGCGCTCAATCCACTGAGCTACGCCAGCCAGGGCTGACCTGGGTCTTTACTGAGAACACCATCAAAGCTGATGCATCATCATTACTCACTTCCACCACCCTTGGGGAAAAGTTCAGGATATGGCGTAGCTTCCAACTAGCTTTGGTGTCGTAACCACAGTTTGAGTACAAGCTGTTGGCAATGTGAACATGAAGGTCCTCTTCAATTACCTCCAACAGTCAGCAAGTGCAGGGAGTGGCCCAGTGACCACTGCTTTTCCACACTTGCTTGTGGTAACCTCTTTGACACCATTAGGATTACTGGGTGGTTGTTTTTTTTTAGGTAGCATATTCTTAAAGTTTATCAAAGAAATTTGTGTTGGATTCCTACTTGGTTAGTTTTTTTTCTTTCGTTCCCTTAATTGAATTACTTATCACTGAAGGTTTAATAACCACCTTGAAAGTCAGTTGGGAAAGGCACCATATTTTTCAGACTATAAGACACACCACCTAAATTTGGGAGGAAAAGCGGGGTGCGACTTATAGTCCAAATGTAGATTTACATTTGCATTGGTGAAATGTTATTTGTTATTATTTTACCACATTTTTTGCTTCAAAAATTTTTTTCCCATTTTCCTCCTCTAAAACCTAGGTGTATCTTATGGTCCAAAAAATATGGTAACTGAATCCAATCATGCCAACTCTGCTGTTGTCAGTGGGATTTCTACCCATCATTTCCTTTGAAGAAGGGGTTTGAGTGCATTATGCTAAGTGAAATAAGTCAGGTGGAAAAGAACAAAAACTGTATGATTTCACTTATATGTGGACTTATAAAACAAAAAAAAATGACAAACAAACAAAAATGTATTCATCAATACAGATCATAGATTGCTGGTACCAGAGGGGAAGGGAATGAGGTGGGGGGAGGTGAAATGGATAAAGAGAAGCAAACGTGTGGTGATGGGTGGAAACCAGACTTTTGATCGTGAGTACACTATAGTATACACAGATATTGAATGATAGTGTTGTTGTATACCTTAAACTTACATGTTATTAACCAATATTACCTCACTTAAAAAAAAATAAGGGGACTTGACTTCTGGTCAAGATGGAGGCGTAGATAGACACATTTCTTCTCCTCACGTAACCACAGAAAGAATTACAATATCTCAAAGCAAGTAACACCCACAACTGTCAGAATATTGAGCTGTATGGAAGTCTGACGACCAAGGATTTAAAGAAGCCATATTCACCCGGACAAGTGGGAGAAACGGAGTTGTGGAGATAGGCAGAGAGGCAGAGAGAGGCAGCAGCAGCAGTGGCAGAATGGTTGGCCCCTCATTCATGTGTGATAGGTAAAAATTGGGAGGGATACCTTGGTAGTGATCGATCCTAACTCCAGGCCTGACTGCACAGCCCAGGGTTCCAGCACCAGGAAAATACATCCTCATAATTTCTGGCTGAAAAAGTCATTAGGGCAGTGGAATAAACTGCTGGATTTTCAGGAGATTCTGTTTAGAAGACCCACATAAACTTAGAACATAGGCAAACCCACCCACCATTGGAACAGCTGGAAGAGTGCCAGCTGCATACCAGAAGTGGGTAAAGTGACTGGAAACATAGCGAGTGCTGTGCAAACCTCCAGAAGCTAGGCAATGGCATTGTTCCCTCTATGAGCCCTCCCCCTACACAGAGCCATAACGTGGTGAAACAGGTTGTCCTGTCCCGGCAATTACTGAAAGCTCTACCCCACACAATTTATATGTGCTTTTTCGACAATATGCCATGCTACTAAGACAGGGAGTCAAAGCAGCACTACTTAATACATAGAAACAAACACAGGGAGGCTGCCAAATTGAGGAGACAAAGAAATATGGCCCAAATGAAAGAACAGCACAAAACCCCAGGAAAAAAACTAAATGGAGATAACCAATCTATCAGATGCAGAATTCAAAACACTGGTAATCAGGATGCTCAAAGAATTCATTGAGTGTGGCAACAACATAAAGGAAAAAATGAAGTTTCTGCTAAGTGAAATAAAGAAAAATCTACAGAGAACCATCAGTGGAGGGAAGGAAGCTAGAATTCAAATCAATGATATGGAACATAAGGAAGAAATAAGCATTCAACCAGAATAGCAAGAAGGAAAAAGAATAAAAAAAATAAGGATAGTATAGAGACCCTCTGGGACATCTCCAAACATACCAACATCAGAATCATAGGGATGCCAGAAGAAGAGGAAGAACAAGAAATTGAAAACTTATTTGAAAAAATAATGAAATAAAACTTCCCTAATTTGGTGAAGGAAAAAGACATACAAGTCTAGGAAGCACAAAATCTCAAACAAGTTGGACCCAAAGAAAATCACACCAAGACACATAATAATGAAAATGCCAAAGGTTAATGATAAAGAGAGAATCTTAAAAGCTGCAAGAGAAAAGCAGAGTTACCTACAAAGAAGTTTCCATAAGACTGACAGCTGATTTCTCAAAAGAAAATTTGCAGGCAAGAAGAGACTGGCAAGAAGTATTCAAAGTGGTGAAAAGCAAGGACCTACAACCTAGATTACTCTATCCAGCAAAACTATCATTTAGAATGGAAGGGCAGATAAAATGCTTCCCAGACAAGGTAAAACTAAAGGAGTTCATCATCACTAAGCCCTTATTACATGAAATGTTAAAGGGGCTTATTTAAGAAAAAGATCATAACTATGAACATTAAAATGGCAACAAATTCGCAACTATCAACAAATGAATCTGAAAAAACAAACAAAGCAAACAACCAGAACAGGAATAGAATCATACATATGGAGATCATTTGGAGGGTTATCAGTTAGGAGGGAGAAGGGAAAGAATAGGGGAAAGGGTACAGGGATAAAAAAGCATAACTGGTAGGTATAACATAGACAAGGGAATGTTAAGAATAGTATAGGAGCTTTTGCTGGTGTGGCTCAGTGGATTGAGTGCCAGCCTGTGAGCTGAAAAGTTGCTGGTTCAATTCCAGGTCAGGGTACAAGTGTGAGTTGTGGGCTAGGTCCCCAGTAGGGAGCATGCAAGAGGCAGCTGATTGACGTACCTCTCCCACATTGCTGTTTCTCTCCCTCCCTTCCCCTCTCTCTAAAAGTTAAAAAAAAAAGAAGAATATAGGAAATGGAAAAGCCAAGGAACTTACATGCACAACCCATGGACATGAACTAAAGGGGGTGGGATGCTGGAGGGAAGGGTAGGTACCAGGCAGGGGGGACAAAGGGGGAAAAACTGGGACAACTGTAATCGCATAATCAATAAAATATATTTTTAAAAATAAGGGGACTAAATGGTAATGGAAAAATATAAAGATTAAATAAAAAAATAATAATAATAACAATAATAAAGAAGGGTTTGAAATCTGATACCACAGCACAGAGCCAACAGGGCAAAAACTGCACATTTTTAAGCTCTAATGGGTCTTGTCAATTATTTGGTCCAAATTCCTCCTTAAGGATGAGAAACTGAGTCTCAGAGAGAGGAAATGACCTTCCTAAGAGCATACCACCATCAGTGGGAGAAACGGGCTGGTATTCAGGTCTGTTGATATTCAGCCTGGGGCCTGGAAGTAAGTGCCTTGGACCTTAAAAGTCGTAACTATGACACTCTGACTGGTGTGGCCAGTGGATTGGGTGTCGTCCTGCATGACCAGTCAAGACACATGCCTGGATCGGAGTCCTGGACCCCAGCTGCAGCTTATGCGAGAGGCAACCAATCAGTGTTTCTCTCTCACATCGATGCTTCTCTCACTCTCTTTCTCCCTTCCTTTCTCTCTCTATAAACAAACAAACAAAATCTTTTTTAAAAAGTCATAACTATGCCTAAAAATAAAGTGGTGATTTGAGACAAAATCATTTTTGTTTCAGAATTATTGCTGTGGCAGAGAGCGAGAGAGAGGGGGGTGTCAGGGCAGGGAGAGAGAATGAATATCTGCTCCCGAGGAGGAGTTTTGGCTTAAATAACCCTCCTTCCCAACCTCTTTCATTAATAATTGAGCATTTAAATGTCAAAGATGATTTGAGTATATAGAGAAGACAGTAAAATGAAAAAAAAAAAAAGAACAGATTTAACACAGAACATCTTTTATTTGAATACTGAATACATTCTTTTAGTACAGAGTGTTTGAAAATGAGTTTTTTAAAAGAAAAATAACATTGGCAGCAATACAATGAAAATGGAAAAACATAATTTCTAATATAATAGAAATGGCATATAGATATATTGGCATTCTGTGAAGTCCAATTAGGGCATTCCATTATCTGATATGTTGTGGTTTCATTTACACTTACTTCAGAAGGTACTGGAAATTGTTAAAAAATACCACACACATAAAACTAAACATAGCAAATTAATGAATGTATCACAATTTATTAAATATCTTTAATGAAAATGATACCTGACAACTAGAAAACAAAGTTTTGTTAAAAAAAACAAACAAACCTTAGACTAGTGTTCATATTAGAAATAACAGTTTCTTTTGTTTCTAATATTAAATACAATACTTAATATTCCATATCGAAATTTATCTTCTGAGTTCCAAGAGTATGTTCTGTCCATTAGTGTAGAATGACATGAATTTAGCTTTTGGTTCCCCGGATTCTCAGAGCATCAGTAAGACAAGTCTCAGAATCATCATGAGGCTGGATGCAAAGAAAAAGGCAAAGGGAGGCTGCCTTTTACAAGGGTGAGACAGAAAGGGCCGCCTCCCCTCACCAGGGGGCGCCCACACGCTGGCTCCCAGGCTTCTCTCTCCCTGACTTCTACTGCTTGGAGCCAGTGCTGTGGGTGTGGGTGTGGGTGCGGGGGTGGGGGTGGGTGTGGGGGGTGGAGGAATCTCATCATCCCTGTACTCATACTTTCCAGACACGACTTAAAAATGTTCACTCAATGAATGAGAAAAATCAGAACTCGCTGTTGTTAAGATCTCGGATGAAGCTTTATGAGAGAAAGGTTTCAAAAGAAATACAAAACCTTTAAAAGCTTGCAAAGTAAAGCAAGTTGCAAAAACAATCATGGAACAATTCTGAGGGGTTATTATTATCACCTCAGCTACTTTTCATTCATTGGGGACTTGACTTTTTTTTTCTTTTTAATAAACATGTTTCATTTGTTTTCCTTATACCACCAGAACTGAAAATACTGACTGTCATTTTCCTAAAATAGGGAAATTAATCTAAAACACACAGTGGTGCTTTTCAGAAGACAGCAATTTAAAAGGCATTTGATATCTTTGGGGTCTGGTCTTCTTGATCCACAAACCCTACTTCTGATTCTTTCCACCACAATTATCATTTTTAGGCCTAAAACTGGAAAGCAGTCTCTGTAATCACATTTTTCCTCCCCAAATCACAAGTATAAACATAGCCACACTAGCAAATTCTATAGAGCAGAAAGAGAAAATTACTCATTATGCCACCACCCAGAAACAAACTCGAACCATTTGAGGTATTTCCCTTCCTAACTTGGTTTTTTATACACACGCTTTTAAAAATTGAGATTACACTATATTTGGTTGTTTTTTATCCTTTAAAAAAACTCTTTTCTTATGTTATTAAGGTTTTCCAGTGCCACTAAATAGTTTCTGAAACCATGACCTGTAATGCCTGTTCAATGTTCCATTAGGTGGACAAAACATTTACTGAAACATTTCCTTACTGGTGAATTTTTTAGGTTTTTAATTTTTTAGTTTATCATGTTTTGCATTTGGAATAAAATTGCAATAAACATCAGTCATTGGATACATCTCGTTATTTCCTCAGAATAAATTCCAAAAAGCCGAAAATGTTTATCAAAGGAAATGAACATGTTTACGGCTTTCAGTATATAAAGGCAGCTTTCAGGAAGAATTAAAGTGTAACCTATAAACCTTTTCTTGGTAACATGATTAATGCCATGGATAGAATGACAGAATTAAATTAAGAGAAACTTGAGGCTCCTTACTTATCTATTTTAAAAATAGTGTTTTTTTCCCCTAAAAACTCAAAATAACCATCAGACTGTCACTCTGTCCTACTCCCTAAGAGAGAATGAGTTTCAGATTTAAATGAATACACTCACTGCCTCAGTAGGGTAACTGCTGAGGAACAATGAGGTTTAACTTAGTTGTTTATTCTGAAAAAGGTAAAATGTACATGTGATCACACACTACAGCAACACTAAGTGGACACAATAAAAATGTCCATGTGGCCCTGGCTGGTGTGACTCAGTGGACTGAGCACAGGCCTGTGAACCAAAGGGTCGCCAGTTCGATTCCCAGTCGGGGCACATGCCTGGGTTGTAGGCCAGGTCCCCAGCAGGGGGTGTGCAAGAGGCAACCACACATTGATGTTCCTCTCCCTCTCTCCTTCCCTTCCCCTCTAAAAATAAATAAATAAAATATTTTAAAAAACGTCCATGTGCACATCAATACCAAAGACTGGCTGAGAACAGATATTTTAAGGTTTCCCAGTCATACTTATTGTAATAAAAAATACCTTGACATTTCAAATTAAAACTGACTTTTGCCAAAAATTCAGCACTTCAAAATGATGGCAGAAGAAAATACAAATCAAAATAGTTTTTCTTGCCCTGAATGGTATGGCTCAGCGGATTGAGTGCTGGCCTGAGAACTGAAGGGTCAATGGTTTGATTCTGGGTCAGGGCACATGCCTGGGTTGCAGGCTGGATCCCTGGTTGGGAATGTGTGAGAAGTGACCAACTGATCTTTCTCTCTCACATCACTGTTTCTCTCCCTCTTCCTCTCCCTCTCTTCCCCTCTTACTTACCTTAAGCCTGCAACTAGCCCAGCTGGCATTACCTTCTTGGATCTCTTAAACCTCACACCCATTATGGTGGCCAGAAAGAAAGCTGTAACTGAAAAACAAACCAATGCATGAACCGGAGTTTTAAACACATTATCAGTGCTTGCTTGTGGGAAAAGGGGTGTCACTTCAGCTTTCTAATGATAACAACTATTATGCAAAAGTAGTGAGTTGCTATTTTCTTCAAATGATGACGTGCTCTATGAAAACACTTAAACGAGCTCATCACAAAGGTTTGAGTAAACGAGCATGTTAAAAATCCATTCTTGAAATATCTTTTAAAAGGAAGTCTCTTCTAACTTAAATTTTTATTTACAGAATACTCCTGGAAGACTAAGACTGTTGTCTAATCCAACTTTCCTCAGGAATACCAGACAGTACACCTAGACCCACAGGAGACACTCAATAAGTGTTCAGGTAACTGGATGTGAAGAAAATAATTAGCATCTTTTTTTAAAACTAAGACCTAATTAATAAAATAATACTATTTTAGTATTTGGAAGAAGGTTGACAGTTTTTATTTTTTAGCATTCTACTTTGGGCAATTTGATGCCTGGAGACTAAATAACAACAGATAAGTAATAATATCAAATTTAGAAGCATTGTATCAGCCACCCCCCAGGTTCGGTTCTCCATAGCTGGGAAAAATGCCTTACTTACACAGAGATACTTTAACATCTCGTCTGTCATTGGAGACACGGTAAGCTCCATAGCCAGCCAAAAGTCCAATGGAAAGACCAGCAATCAAAGATGGAACACCACCTTGGGGGGGAAAAAAGTATGGGCTCAGGAAGAGAATCACAAAATGAAAGGAATTACTTAGAGTATAATACATGCACATTTAAATGTATTTGTACTTGGGCACTGCAACTATAATAAGAGTAGTCTTGGCAGTTTGTAAGAAATGACTGCTTCATGCTGAACCCCAGATGCAAGGCAGAGAAGCCCTGAATGCATAGCAATGCAGTGTTAGGTATCACTTCAGGGAATAAGAAAGTCTCCCTAATAGTAGTGGTTCTGACATTGATGGCATGACCTTGGGCAATGAGTTGACTTCTTAGGTCCCTCTCTGTTTTCTTCCTATTCTCCTTGCCTCCATCTTTTTATTGTGGAGTTGTGATGATAAAAGTAGGATGCAGGGTATTTTTAGCTTGTAGGGTTGGAGACAGAAGTGCTATGCGAACCAAGCACTGGTTCTACCCTGAACAGTTAACAAACCTTCCAGCCTCAAGACGTCAGGACTCAGGGATGGCAGCTACACTGAGAAATGGGGAGAACCAGGGCACTGACGCAGTCAGCCAGCCCAACCCACCTACCCACGACACCAGGGCACCGGGACCAACTCCAAGCACCTTCTGTGCACTGGGCTACTTGCCAGTGATGCTGAACATGACACACACGCTCCTTGCTGCATGGGATTCACTCTGTTTACAATCTGCTGGATTGGAATCTCCAGGAGTACGGTCACGGTAGCTTTATTTTTAAAATATCTAGGAATTCACATTGCAACCAGGGTTAAGAACCATTGCAGCAACACACACACACACACACACACACACACACACACACACGTTCGCATGCACACCAACAGCAGCAGTAGCAGCATCCTGAAGGAGAAGCCAAATGCCCTAGATTCTAGATCAAATTCTTTTACTTATTGCCAGAAGGTCTTTGGCTAAGTCACTTGGCCTCTTTGAGTTTTATCAGTTGCAAAACTGGGTTAATAATATCATCCATGTCAAATATATAAAGGCTTAGAATGTTACAGTTAGAAATTATATTAAATTTCTCATTGCTTCCCCATACCCCCCAAATCTATTCTCTAAACACAGTAATATGATCTTTTAAAAACATACATCTAGACAGATCACCCGGCCTAATTAAAAACCCTCAGTACTTCCCACTGCCCTTAGGAAAACCCCAAGTTTGCTCTATTATTGGAACTCTGGCCTCCTTACATTCCCTGAATATGCCAAACTCTTTATTCCTTATGGCTTCCACACATGCTGTTCCTTGCCTGGAATGCTCTTCCTGCAGTGTTCACGGGGTCAACTGCAGCTCACCTTCGGATGTTAAGTGTTGGCTCCTCAGAGATGCCTTCTCTGACCCACCATTCTGAACAAGAGGCCCCAGTACAGTCTGCCATTGTTCGTCATCAGATATGTAATGTCAGTCTTCCCCTGACCTTCAGTGGCAAGTGTCACGTCTGTTTTGCTCACTATCGTCTTCCCAGGGCCCAACACAGTGCCAGGCGCACAGCCAGCACTAGGTAAATACTGATGGAATGCATGCCTGGGCGCTCCCTGTATGGCTCAAGCAGAAGTCAGATACGACTATGGTTAAGGAGAATACTTTATTTAACCTTAACAGACTAATTTACAAATGAGGAACTGAGGCCCAGTAGTTAAAACAACTCACAAGAGCATCAGAGCTAGTAAGTGGTAGTGTCAAGAGCAGAATTTAGGAATGCATGATTCTGTGGCCTATGCTCTTCACGACGTGCTACAGGGGTGGGCTTCTTTGTGAACATATGATACCCTGGGGGGCTTCCCGGGTCACTTAGAGGGGGGCTTTTGCAGGAAGCCAAAGAACTACATTATATAGCTGGGCACAGCTAATGGGATTTCATATGTTCCTGAAGAGATTTGGGTGAGAACAGTAAAGCAATTCCCTCCCCCTCTCTCTTTCACTAGCAATACACACACACATGTATATACACACCCACATATGTATCTACACACACATACACACTTCCTTCTTTCACCCCTCTTCAAGTCAGGAAGAAATATCTAGATGTTCTTTCCCGTCCCGTAGTAAGGGTTATTTAGACATGTCTTTGACAATGAAAAAAAATTTTTATAACAATCCTATCAGGATTTTACACCGAGTACACTTTAATGTAGACTATGAAATATCAGCTTTTATGTAGTTGTTTACAGGTCTTAATTTGGTGTCATCATTTCCCACCGTCAAATATATATCCACGATGCTACACATATTGGGAGAAAAAATAAGAACAACAGAAGTCTAAGGTGAATTACAGGCTCTCAGGAATCACAGCAGAAAACCTATCCTAACCTGCCAGACCCTCACACCCTGGGCAGAACTGTTCTTCTTGGCCTTGGACTTCTCAGCAATCTTTAAGGAAGAAAGGAACTCTGATAACTGTGTAGACCTCGCTTTTCCCTAGAACTCAGTCCACCAATGCCACAAATATAACGCTCTTTAAAATATACTTCATCTTTAAAATTTCATAAAAATATGAGCAATATGAGACATCGTGACTACAAATGCTTCTACCTTAAAACAAAGTGAAATAAAATCTGACCTTTCATTTTTCTTCATGAAAACCCTTTCATTTATCCACTAGGTCTTTTTTCCTTCCTTCTCTTGGACAGAGATGGAGAGATAAGTTCAGATATGATATTTAAGCATTCAACAAATTTTTCTTTGCAGCACACAATATCAAGATAAATCAGTTTTTTGACACTATGACTATGTAAACAAAAAGATTTCCTCATTTGATAAGTGAGTGGCCCTGAGGAAGTTAAATCAATTAATTATGTAATTGCTAATGACAGGTGAGATTAGAACTCTATAGTGGAGGCAGACCCAGAAACCCCAGGCTGGAATGCTCTTTATACCCAGCTCCACGTAACCCACTTCCTTCCATGAATCCCTTCCACTTCTGGTCCTCAGCTACCTCTAGGACATCTTTAGCTTCATGTCCTACTTACAGACCCTCAACTGATCCTGGCACAATCGCCAACCCCCACCATGTCATCCTGACAAAAACTTATTTGGGCTTACCTCTCCGTTTATATCCCCAAATACTTCCGAACGTCACAAGGGCCGCATAACCAAAACCAACAAGATCCATTGGCAAAGCTGCAAGTGTAAAGCAAGGGGGAAGGGACAAATTTTACAAAATAAAATGAGTTTGGGGGAGCAAATGCATGTAAAAATGACATGCATTACCCAGGATAAAAATGAATTCCTCTACTAAAAAAGGGAAGCTAGATCTTTACCTGTGCACCACTCAACCACTGTGCTACCATGCTCACCATGCTCAAGTGTTGGGAACCGCCCTGACTGGTATCAGAGGCTGAAACCCCCGCCTAGGCTAAAGCTAAGGGAACGCCCTTGGAACCGTAAGCCGGCAAGGAGATAAAAGCTTATCTTCCTGGCAGGAATGCTGCTTCTGCTGCTTTATTCATGACTGAACCCCCAAAAGCTTGGTCGGTTAGCTAAAGACAGGTAAGATTCCCCACGGGGGGAACGACCTAAGCCAGGCACAATCACTTTGGGAGGCCCCCCAAAAGGACTTGGGGGGCTGCAGCAAAAGGGGGGGTGATGGACCCTCGCTCCTCGGCTTTGACATAGCCTGAGTTCTCAGCGTCTGGGAAAAAATCTCCTTATCTCTTGGTTACCTAGTTCCCTTGCTCCACCTAAGCCTGAAACAATGACAGGGTGGTGCAGCTCGGTACTGAGAAGTGCGGATTCCCTGGGGTGATCAGGCCTAAGAAAGAATATGTAAATTACTGTGAAACCTTCTTTGTTTAGAATGCTCTCAGTTGAATGAGAAGGGTCTTAGGAGGAAGTTAGTTTGTTCCTCAGTCTTACAGCTCTTTGACCCCCAACTCAATAGACCGGCAGAGTTCTTTGTTTTCTGTAGTTCCTTACTTCCCCTAATGAGTACTGTACTTTACCTGAATTATTATGCAGAATGAGCCCAATAAAAGCAGGTATGGACGGTAAATCAGCGCGCTCCCCACTGGGGGGGTGGCCATTTCGTCCCTACTTCCCCACAGAAACTAGTTTGTCTCTGTGCATGTTATTTCTCGCGTGTTTATCGTCAAGCCATCCACAGCGTTCCATGGTCACTGCTGGCCGGTGACCCACGCGCAACACTCAAGCACACTCAGGGGACACCCATTTTGATTCTCTTTTCCTTGTCTTCCAGACCTGCTATATGGTCAGCTGCTTAGTTCCCTTCCACCTCCCCAAGTAAGATTTCTGCTCACTGGAGACAACACAACAATCTTCACTTTTCACTTTGTGCCTGGAATGTCCCCCTCTCCCAACTACAAACCCCACCCACCCTCCACCCACCCAACCACTCTAGCCTGCACCATCCAACTGGTCTGGAGCAAACCACTCTGCTTCCTCTAAATTCCTTGACTGCAAAACCCCATCTTACAATTCTTTCATATTTGTGCGCATATTTGTCCCTCCATCCTCCTCACAATGAAGAACAGAACAGGGGTGATCTGGACATTTGTTGACTGAACAACAGATTCACTTTAACATCCACTTTGTCACTGGCTTTGTTATGAGATGGCTCTTCCCTAGTGGCAGAGGCATGGACGCTCACTCAGTGGTAAACCACTAGAGAATATGACGAAGCCCAGGCACCAATTTCATTGAACGACAATGATATTCTATTGTGCACCATTGCAGCAACTGAAACATACACCCAGGGGTGAGAGGTTCCACTGAAGTCCAGCCCCGGTTCTCTGAGCTGTAGGACAAAGCATCCTGGCTATAGGCTGGAGATAGGACCCTGGCCGCTAGCTGGCTGTTGGTCCTTGCACCCCACCCCATCCTTACCACCAGCTCCTGTAGGAGACCTTGTGGTGCCTTTGTAACTTAGCTTTTTAACAGCTATATTTCCTCCACAGGGAAAATAATTATCTTTGTACATACAAGGAATGATGTATGAGATTTCATTGCATTTTTGGTTTTCTCACTGCTAGTCATTTGGGTTAACCCAATCTTTTATTTCCTATAACAGCTGGTAATGAATTGACCCAGAAGAATGGAAAAAGGATCCTGAGCTTATTTCAGAGTAAACCAGAACTTATACTGTGAGCAAGGGCCTTGGGGTAGGGATCTCAGGCACAGGAGGAGATGACTGTACTGAAAACAAGACTACACTGAAAAATCTTCAACATCTGTAGGAAGAAGAATTAAAATATGGGAGCTCATCCGTGCCCGAGAAGTGGTACAGTGGGACTAAATGTGTAGGAAGGACCTGCATTCAAAAACCATTGTTAACTAAATGATGGAAAACAAATAATAATGAGGATAATGTTTATGAGCAATTACCATGTGCTAGGCACCATTCTAAGGCCTTACATGTATCACCTCATTTAATTATGACCAAAATGCCTATGAAGTAAGTACTACTATTACTATCCCCATTTTCCAGATGAGACTGAGGCACAGAGAAGGCGAGTAACACCTCTGGGGTCACACAGCAGAATCATGATTTCAGACTTAAGAGAAATTTCATTCCAAACCACTAGCAATAGACCTCTCATAACTGAGTTTGCTGGCTGAAAAAAAGTGAATATGTAAGTGAAACTGATGTTCTTCAGAGTTTTAAATTCTGAATTAATCACTTTTGATTGGCTCTATAGCTTAAAGTTGTGAGCATACTGCCCAGGCTTCCATTTGGTGCCTTGTCATCTTCAGCCCTATGAGCATCTCCTGTTCAATCCTACTTACTGTCTTTCTGAAAGAGTTAATCATATTCCACAATGTACATTTGGCTTCGCATCTGATGACACCACTTATTAGCTGTGTAACATTAGGCATGTTCTTTAATGTCTGTGTAATTCAGTACCTCCATCTGTAAAACAGGGATAATATAAATATCTACCTCATAGAGTTGTGATAATTAAATGAGTTAAAACTGAAAAACACAACAGTGCTTGGCACATACAAAGCACTCAACAAATATAAGCTGCTCTAATAATGACTGTTCTTCTTATTCACGCTTACACCCACTTTTAAGCTTGATGTGTATAAGGCCACTGACAAAACAGCTGCGGAAGGGTGAATTTAGGCATTCAATGAATCAAACCATATTACAACTTACATTTAGCCACTTTATTGAGCATCTTCTTTGTGCAAGGCAGTGGGAAGCAATGAAAAGCCTCTGGACAGGGCCCTGGTCTTCCAGGACCCACAGTACAGTTCAGCAGAGGAGGCAGATACGTGAATGAGCCCTGAGCGGCATGGGCACCTAATGAGGCTTGGGGGCCTAAGGAAAGATTCCTAGAGGAAGCAGGGTTCAGCTGGGACCTCGGGGAGAATATGAGTAAGCCAAGTGAGAGGATAGCAAAAAGGGGCATGTTGTAGGCAGAAGGAAGAACATATACAAAGGCCTAGTGGCATGAAAAAGCATACATTTTCAAAAGGGAAATAATTGCGAAGAGGCTGTGAAAAGAAATGGGGCTGCTGAGAAAGACAGGGCCTGAGCAGCCATGTGAGGGAGTCTGGTTTCTGTCCCAAGGGCAGTGAGGAATGAACAAAGGGAGCCTTTCCATCAGATTCAATTCCCACAAGCATTTTGCGGCTGCAGACATGGGAGATGTGTTGAAGTGCAGGGAAATTGCACTTGCAATTAAGTTGCAATTAAGTTGCGAGGCTGTTGCAGTAAGGAAAACACCTGTATAGTTCTGACACTTATGAGAGAGATCACTCATCATCAGACAGTAATTTCGGGACATTATTTTCTTCTTAAGCCAAGCACCTGGTGTGAAAGGCTGCTTCTTCTTCAAGCCTCCCATTTCTTCCTCTGACATAGAGTTAGTTATAAGAGCTTATCTCTCCTTTCAGCCAGTCAAGCTCCTTGAAGGTAAAGCTTGGGTTAAATTCATCTTTGTCTTTCTCACAGGATCAAGCTCATTGCCATGCAGAGGCAGGTGCTTAGTAAATACTTGCTGAATGAATGAGTGATGAGTGAACCTAATAACTCCCATCTGAAGACTCTGTCATACTGACCTAATGTCAAGAAACAGCCACTGCCTTAATCTCTCCTTAAGTGAACTGAGCATTGTTCTTAGGAGGTAGAATATATTCCCAATCCTTGCAAGAAGTTTCTGGACACATAGAGAAAATTCAGACAAAAAGCAATCACCTCTCTTGCTCCTTTGCTATGGCAGGAACATTTGAGCAACCCAGAAGCACACATGAAAAGTCACAGGATGAGTTACCACAAAAGGGATGCGAGTGGGGACGATGTGGGGCACACCACAGACTTTCATCACCAACCAGACGCTCAGCACTTAGAAAGGCCAGAAAGCATCTTGGATGCAATGCAGCAAAATGACTTACTACACCGTATACAAAACTAGGTGGCAGGGCCCTGCGTTGTCTCTAGCCCTCCAAAATTTGGGAAACCCACTAACATTTTCCATAAGCTACCATATAAAAAGCATCTTTATACGTTGAGTATCAATAATTACCTACCTACCTTTGCACTCCTTGGGGCTCGAAAGACACATTTTCGAGTGAAGTCTGGGTGGTGTAGGAAGATAAAGCCCTGCCAAGCATTTTTTTTCCAATGATCCACAGGCCCCACTATCCCACCTCTCTCTAGCTCCAAGAAGACAGAAGGGGGGGTGGGGGACAGGTGGAAGATTCAGGACTGTGAGAAGGAAGAAATGTGGGGAAGTCCCAGGAGGATGAGAGAAGCGATCCCTGGGAGAGCAGACCTCATCTCCTGAAAACACCTACCAAGGTTCTCTGTATGATTGGTTCTCTGCTTATTTCTGCACCTTTGCTGGAAAATTCAGGGCAGGGAGTGCTCGACTGCAATATGTACAACTCACCTGCAGCCCCGAGCCCTCCTCGCAGGAGCCAGCTGCGGGCAAAGTTCTACCTGAAGTCCGGAAGTGGTGCGGCTCGCTAGCGCCCCACCTTCCAGGCACCCTGCCGCTGCGGTGGGTTCCGGGCAGCGCCTTCCCTGCAGTGCGCATGCGCAGCGTCCTCCGACGCTCCGTCAAGAGCTGCCTCGCCCAGACCCGCCCAGCTAAGAGGAGGCGGACAGTCCGGTAGGCCCGGATGCTAGCTAGCGGTGCGGCTTCCAGGGAGGCGGATGGATGTGGTGTCTTGTTCGGTCTGCCCTGCTTTTGGCTCTGGCCCTGAGCCAGGGGCTGGGGGCTGCTGCCTGCTGCCTCCTGCCGGAGGGATCAGAACTAAGAAGCATTCGCAGGGTGTGGGTCTGGGTGTAGCAGGAATCCCAGAGATTTTTAATCCTGAAGTTTATTCATCATTCCAGGGTCATTTGTGTCTGCAACAGCCCAGGTCTTTTACATACTCTCCAGCATATTATTTCCGTTTTCAGTGGAGGGAGCTCCATCCTCCGTGGGGTGCTAAGGTAGAGCCCACGTTCATCATGTTTCAAAGCTCAAGCCCCGTTCATGGACACACTCTGTATGGGGTCATGTAGATGTGGAGGGAAGGTCAGGACAAGCCGAGTTTAGTATCAGAAGGGAAAGGTATGTATTGAGTGCCGGAATTGGAAGGCACTTAAAATCTGTCTAATCCCTGGATAATCCATTCCCAGAAGGAACCTTGACTTTGGAAACAACTCATCTCACTCCAGTGTTGCCTTCTAGACCACTTTCTTACATAATAGCCCTTCAGATACACAAAGAAGACTGTCGTGTAGGAGGCAACAAGCAGCTCTAGGAATCCTGTGGAACTGGGAATAATAGAATTTCTTTTTTTTAAAAAAAAGAGCTAGTAATATACATTAAGTCCTGTGAAATTTGTTGAATCTATTCCATGTGCTTCAAAGTGTGTCTGAGCAGTAATGTGACTAACTTATGAGAAATTTAAGTTGGTCCTAGGAAGTTAAGATTCCTGAAAATTCACAGGAGAGTCAATGGCAGGCTCTGGAATGTGCATTGGAAGAAGTATCCTGAAATCTGGCTCTGAGTTCTCCCAGAGCTCCTTTCCATCCCTTCTGTTCCCATCTTCTCTCTCCCTGCCTCTCCCTCCCCTGCCCCTTTCCTCCGCAGACTCCCAGAACACTTACCCTATTCAGAATAAAATTAAAACCTTCTTGGAATGCACCATTATCTTTAACTGATATGTACCCTGGTAAATAACTTCCCTCTGAACCTCAGTGCCTGAATTTAAGATGCTGCTCAGACTAGATGCTCTCTGAGACCCCTTCCACCTGTCACAAAGGTATTTGAAGGTAAAAATAGCTTCATGATATTGCTACTCAGTGCATTTTCACCTAACATAGAACAACTCTTTGCATATTATGTAAATAGCATGGAAATTCCATACTATTGGAAACAGAAAGGTCCCTAGGCAAAGAGCCCATTGTCCTGTCAATTCATATGCCACCAGCTACCACCTACTCCAGATAATGGTAAGGTTAGAGCACAAGGCAGGGGTACAGCAAAGTCTACTGACCTGGACCTGTCTGTAGAGCTTTCTATTCCTGATTCACAGCAGACACTCTTAACTCCCAATGTGCCATCAACCCCTTTGGCAGTCTGGAGAAAGGCACAGGACAATATACATAGGATTGCCAAGGGCGCCAATTTTAGTGAAATATAGTTGTCAAATTATTAACCATTAAATCTATGACATAATAGATGTGCTTCTTTATTACATTACAAGATCTGGAAGTGGGTTTAATAATTACCATAATTTCCAAGTAGTGGGATACATAGAAATAGTTTGAGGTATCTGTAACATGTGACTATCTGTATTCCTAGTGATGACAGAGTCACAGGTACTAATATTGCTGTGGTTTACTGCCTATTTTCCTAACGAAAAGAAATGCTAAGTTTTTAATTAGAAGTTAATGAAAATAGGAATTTCTTTTTCCTATCCAAATTCTTAGATCTCCTGACTTCCATTCCTAGGCTCCTCTGGATTTGGAGAATTCCCAAACTATAGCAATGCAGGTTTTCATAAGTTGTACATATGTGGAACTGGAGAAAAGGAGAGCAAGGTTGAAAGGCTGACTGACAGACAGACCTGCTGCTCAGACAGGACCTCACAGGATGTTTACACCCGAGGCAGTGCCCTGTGGTCCTGAGCCTGGTCCTCAGTTTTAAATGTTCAGACACTCAGTTTGTACCGGATCTTCCAGGGGTACCCTGGCTTTGGGAGATTGATTCATAAAAACCAAAGTCACAGGAAACTTACTGATTTTTAAACAAACATAAAAGCCTGCTTCAGGTCCTGGATTCTTCTCTTCTTCCAGATAGATCCCATATGGCTACTTATTATTTAGGTCTATGCTCATCAGTAAAAGAAATTTTGAATAAGCATCCCAATATATGTATACTGTTTATATTTGTAAAGATCTTATTTATTTATTTCTAGAGATAGGGGAAGGGAGGGAGAAAGAAAGGGAGAGAAACACCAATGTGCAGTCATCTCCCACATGCCCCCACTGGGGACTCGGCCCACAACCCAGGCATGCGCCCTGACCGGGAATCAAACCACCAAACCCCTGCTCCACAGTCCAGCGTTCAATCCACTGAGCCACACCAGCCAGGGCCATAATATTTATTTCTAAATCAGACACATACTGCAGTGTTAATATGCTATGGATATTTTAAATACAAGTATATAAACCAAAATAAGATGCTTAAGACTTTAAAAGGGGAATATAAAAATAATAGGACTAATTAGATACTTCCTGTATTGAATAAAAAAATGGCATATTTCTGTCCCACATAGAAGAATATTTTTATTCTTTCTGTCCCCTTTTCCAATAATACTTTTCTGAACTGCCTGCAGACTTTAGGACATCCTTCTTTTCCTTTACGTAGTGGTAAAACTGAACAGAGTCAAACATAAAATTCACTGCAAGCTGCAGCTCTGCTCTTCTCATGCCCACATCACACTGATTTCTAGCGTCAGTCTAATCTGATGACACAGTATCTTCTCAACAAAAATGTTCAAGTATGGACTACTTAGGAGTTTACTTACCTGCAACAGCAGGTTTTTAGATTTGTAGAAATTCATTTCCATTTTTCCAAAAAATGTCCACCCACTTTGAATCCACAGGCTTGTTTGGAAAGCCCAGCTGTTTGTCAGTCAGGCCCTTTGCATCCATAAACTCAGCATGCAGATTACCCACGTCTAAAATAGCTGTCAGTTTCAAATGCTTTGAAGCACACCAGATGTCATCATAATTTAAACATCTCCTTCTTAGGGAAAATGGTCCTAAGCACAGAGATAATAATTTGAACAGTGCTTGAAGTTAGGTTCCAAATAAGTTACAGTTCTAGTAAAGAAATTTAAAAAGTCTTGTTTAACTTGGCTGCCCTTAACTGTTGACACTTTTTTTGAGTTCAGAAGCAGTCTTACTTCCAAAAAATGAGTCATTTTCCCACCGTATGAGTTCTTGACTCAACTTATAGATAATACGAAACAGCTCAGGTGCAGTCAGTCCATCTTTTCTAAGCTCTTTCTCACCTCTAAAGACCATCAAACAGTTTGGGAGAAACAGCATATACACCTCTTTTTCACTGTAGCCCTTTTCTCCATTCTCATCCTCAACATATTTCCACATCAAAGAGGGACATTCCTCTCGTTCCACACTTGGAAAATATGGTGTTATGGCACGCCAACATTTTAGTACCGTCTCCATCTCCATGGCTGGGAGCAATGACACTCATCCCACAGGCACATGTGTAAAGAGGCTCTCTCGTTCCACTTCTGTAAAGCCAAAGAACTCATTGAGTGCTTCTGTACATTTTGAGGAGACTAAAAAATGACCCAAAGCTTTCATTATGAAAGTCTCAATGTCACAGTTAAGCAAGTCACAACTCTTTTTAGCAGTGCTGTATACAAGAAGTGCAGGACATTGGGCAGGTAAGATCTTTTCATTATCTTTGTTAAGGAGTTTATAGACAGAATGGATTTGTCAAAATTTTCATTTGCACTGTCTGATGAATAAGCAGATAGATGAGTAAGTCTGCTTTGTATTTGGAGAAAATATCAACAATCTTTTGCTTTATTATTTCAGCAGTTTCATTAAAATTCCTCATAGATATCGAGAAGATGATTTGAAACTCCATTTCTCAAGTCAAAGTGCCTAAGAGCTAGAGGGAACATTTTTTTGCTGCCATGACCCAGCTCATTGCTTGAAGCTGACGTGCTACAGAACACATGACTGTTGGTAGTAAATGACAAAATCAGCTCTCTACTGTGAGGGGCCAACATAGCTGTTATCAAGATTTCTCCTTTTGTTTGCCCACAAGGTGTTTCAGTTTCAACCTCTGAATCAGGAAATGTTCCTTGACTTGGTTTCACAGCACAGTCAAGGGAACGACATGACAACGCATGTTCATTTGTGTGGAATGCCCCAGCTAATTCAGCAGCTGCTATTTTTGACTGAAAATTGGCATCTTTATGAAAACACCTTTGATTGGTTTAGAGGCACGTGCCTGTCTCATCCTGGCCTTGTGAGATATAGTGTCCATACGTGCTTCTACGTCCCTTTTTCCACTGTTCCCAGTTCCAAAGTTTTTCTGCATGTTGTTCAGAGTGCTCTGTTTGGGTTATTTGCCTCTCTAATCCAGTTGTAGGTATCCTTCCTCTTGTCATTAAAATAACAGTCGTTTAGCCTTCTTTTCCACTGAGGGGTCATGCTTGCTTTGATATTATAATCGTTCTCATCTTCATTACCTGACCATTTAGAAAACATGGTCACAACACTCACAATGTTCAAAAATTAAACTAGTGCTATCCTGATACAAAACACGACAGTTAATACACAAAGTCAAAGATGACCTGTTAATATTCATAATTACAGTACACCTAAGTCACATCACTCTGAGTGGTGCAACAATGAACAAGCAAACCACACCTGTGGCTGCCAACATCAGTGGTGGGTGACAGCAACCACAGAAGGTGCACAATGTATGTCACATCCATTTGACACTAAAGACAGTGTTGCTTTCAGCCCCTTTGTTGGACCCCTGTATGGGACCCCTGAACTTTTCTTCCAACCTTCCACTCATTGCCAAAAACTAGGACCTTTTTCACATTCTAGGGGAGGGTTTGCTTGGATACTTTCAATGCTAAAATTAGGATGACTGGTTACTCTACTGGGTTCCCCACTAAGCCCAGGGCTAGGTCTCCAGAGGCAGGAGGACAGGCACATGGAACTGGAGACGCCTTACCTTGCTACCACTGATGGTACAGAACTCCTTCAGGATATTTCTTGTTGGGAACCACTTTGTGTGGTATTGGAGACTGTAGCCTCGCACAAGCTAGGCCTTGAGAGAGGCCTGTAAGACTTGACCGGAAAGCCAGGAAGCAGGAGGCACTCATGACCCAATGCTAGTATTGAGGGTTCCCCTGGGAAATCAGGCCTGAAGAGTGCATTGTACCCTTTGAAACTTGCTTTGCTTTTTATAGCCCAGTTGGTATAAACCAGATGTTTAAATTCAAAGCATAAGGGAATGAAATCCTAATCTCATGAACCATGCCTTAACAACCCTCAGCATGTCTAACAGACAGTGACCTGAGGCAGATCTCTGTGTTCCTTCAAATGTTATCTATAAATGATATCTGTCTTCTGTAACTATAGCCCTTTGACATTGATGGATGAGCTATGCGTGCTATACAACCCAACACATACCAATCTCAGTAAAAGCCATTTCAGAGAAGGGCTCAGGGCATTTTCCACTAGAGGGATTTGCCAGCCCCTTTTCTCCCAGACAGACTGTGTCTAGGCAAACTCATTTCATCCGAGACCAGGAGGACTCTGAGAAACAGGAGTCCCCTCAATTTCTCATGGGTTTCTGTTCTTTAAAGGTGACAAAAACAGAACTTTGCCTTTTTATTAGACTCTGGATCCAATGAAAACTCAATGGCCTCAATCTGGAAACACAGGCAAAGCTCAGGGCTGGTGCCTCCCCTTGACTCAGGACCTAAGGGGAACTCACCAGAGAGAAAGAACATTCAAAAGTCAGAAAGCAGGAGGAAGAAGCCCAGCTAAGAACAGTAGCTAGGCAAGGACAGAAGGGGAAAGCAGCCCTAGGCGGCTGGTGAAGAGCATAAACCACTCCCTGCAGAGATACTCACTGTCCCAAACTTGTCAAAGTACTCTCTTATCACCTCGTCAGTGGCCTTGGGGTTCAGACCCCTCATAAAGATTTTCTTCAGACTCCTTCATGGCTATGGCCTTTTTGAGGTTCATGCTACAGCCACCCAACCTGTGCTCCTTCTGGCCTAGAACCTGTCCCAAGAGAAGAATAAGTTTACCAGCCAACAGATTTGCTCAGGACCAAGGGGTCTGGAGACTTCCAGTGCTAAAACCAGAAGTGAGGGATTTCCTGGGAAGTAGCACTATCATTGCTACAATCAGAACAAAGGGATTTCCCAGTTCAAGTGACTTACAGCTCTAAAACTGGGACTGTGGAGTTTCCCAGGAATTGTACTTTTAGTGCTAAAATGGGGACGATTCCTTCTGAGAAAGGGGTCAGGCAGGCTCTGGTTCTAATTCTCACTGGTACTTCTTAGCAGCAGTATCCAGGGCTAGTCCCTTCTCTTTGAGCCAGAGGACTCCCCCGCCCCCCCCTTCACAAAATAGTTTGTCCCCTCCAAACTCACCACACTCTTTCTGAACCTGACTTCCCAATTTTCTCTAAACCTGAAATTGGGCTGGTTTACCTACACACACATAAATCATTCCCTACTCCCTGTTCTGGCAGTCCCAATCTAAGACTTGTTTCCTCTAGAGGGAAGCACATCTTAATCCTCCAGCGGAGATTAAGAATTTAGGCTGGAGCTGGGCTGTTGAGGTTGGAATCCTCACTGTCCCACCTCACCTCCCTGCCAACTGTGTGATCTTCTCTAGTTACTGAATCTTCTCTGAGTCTTAGTGCCTTCCTCTGTGAAATGACACCTAGATAATACCTATCTCATTGCATTCTTGGATGTTTTTCTGATCCTCACATGTGAAGTCTGTTTAGTGCAGTGCCCAAAACAGACACAAGAAACAGGTAATAAATGTCTACTGTCCTCTACCCGCACCACTCTAACCCATACACTTCTTACTCCTCACTTAAATCTTTGCAAGTCCCTAAACTCTGCTTCTACCCAGTACACTTGGCCACATGCAGCCCAGGCAAACTGATGGTGAGCATGCTGTTATTTTAGAAAATCAATCCTCTACACAAGGGCCCTTGACGGAGTACATAGTTTACCTTTTCCACACTGGCTGCCTTTTTAAGGAGGATAAACCCCAACACTATTGATCTTCCAATGTTGGTATCCATTTTTAGAGTACGGTCAACGACCTCTCCAAATTTGCTAAAATAGTTTTTTGGGTCCTTTTTGTTTGTTTCCCAGCTCAGGACACCAATTTCCTGAAAAGGTAGGATGAGACACAAAAGGTAGGATGAGACAAGAAATCTCAGAAAGAAGTGGTGACTTGAGAATGTCTTAGAAGAAATCCATGAGTTAAAGAAGAGCTAGATCTCCCAAATCTTTCATTGCAAAAATTACAAATAAAGTTACCATCCCCAGCTAAGGCCTACACCCACCCACTCTAGTCTGCAAAAACTGCCTTAGAAAGACATGAACAAATCCACATTACCTCCTTACTGAAATCTCATCTCCATATGCGCCCTAACAAAACTTAAGCCCACAGCACCCCCAGGCTGGGAGAGGGCAAGGCCAGGAAACCAGGTGCTGGGCACTCCTCACAATAAGAAGTTCTTTTGATTCTGTTTTTTTAACCCGAAGACCAAAAATCAACCCTCTTGCCAAAATGTTATGGTCTATCTCTGCCTTACCCTGAACCCAGATATCACTCTGAAGGAACTTGGTCTTTCTGAGGTGGGGACTGCGGTCGGTCGTACAGCGAATCCATCCCCAGCTGGGGGGGAGAGGAAGGAAGGAGGGTGAGAAGAGGCTGGACACCCCAACTCCGACCTGGCTTGTACCCAGTCCAAGAGCACACCTTCCTCTCTGCCACTGTCACTCTCTGCCAGGACGACACAGAAGTCCACCCAGCAAATCCCACCAACATCACAGCACCCACCCTGCGTCCTCCTGGTTCTTGCCGCAGGTCACCTGCTCAGCCTCCTTGGCCTCCTGGCTCCAGGTTGAGGACTCCCTTGTCCAGGCAGACCATCTGCCTTCAGGGGCGGCCTCACGTCATCTCTTGGCAGTGTCTGTGGTCTCTATACGCAGCTTTCCCTCTCCTGCTTCTGACCTATTGGGCAGACCTGGCTGCGCCGCTCACGGTGGACGTGGGGGACGCCGCAGAGCCGGATTCATTACTAAACCGTCTCACCACTCACCATCTTGGTTCAGTGGAGCAGTGCGCCCAATTTATGGGGCCCACATTGGGGGCGGATCCCTCCAGGCGAAGCTCGTGTTCATTGGCTGAGCCTACCTCACACTCAGCCCTGCGCCGGCGTCCCATTGGCCTGAACGGCGAGAGCTCTAAATCCGAGGGAAATTGCCCTTGGAGAACGCAGCCGGGCCAGGGTGCTGCAGGGGATGCCCGAGGTGCCGCCATAGGACCCCGGTTCCAGCCGGCGGGAAGGCCCGGTTGCCCCTCTTGGGCCCCTGATTCAGCAGCCGCTCGATCCCGCGCGTCCATCTCAGGTCTTCACGAAAGTGAAAGAGAGCCAAAAATAAGGTAAAGCCAGTTAAAATCCCCAAAGTCAAACAGCCAAAAGCAAATTCAAGGAGAGCATATATAAACGAGAATAGTATAGGTAAGCAAAAGTGAGTTTTTGCAAAGGCAAAGCAAACAACCGAAATTCAAGAAGGTGAATTTAAGAAATGATAAAACGTGAATCTAATCTCAAATTTGGGCTATACCGATTTCTGTTTAGACCTAGATAAGTAAACATTCAGTCAATAAATCAAGCTTTTCTTATTTGATTGCCTTTCATCTGAAAAGACAGCAGGGGGCACTAGATACTCTGGTTTCATACAGGTAGGCAGGAGTTTTAGCCCTGTCAAAATTTTCAAACATCAAATAGTTTTGCAATTAGGGGGATGGTTAAAAAACTTAACAGTCAATGTGAAAACAGGGTGATGATCTACATAGACTGTTTACGTGAAAAAAGGTAACATTTTGTGTAGTCCAACCTGTTGACCAAGGAATTTCCTGAAATATTGCCTGTGTTGGGGCTAGGGTGGCAATTACAGGACATAAAGGGAATTTTGAGATGGGCTCTGAAAGAGGCAGAGCAGTAAAGAGTGACCAAAGGACAGCAGCTGACACCCTGTCCTCGACCTTCCCTCTGGGCCTGTTTTGAACTTTTGTCAAGGGTGTGGGACTTTCCATGCTAAAATTGGGACTGAGGGATTTCCTAGGACTGGGGACTTTCCTATAAACAATAATAACAATTAACATTTAATGAGTACCTATTATGTGCCAGCCACCTTCTAAGCATTTTACACGTATCAACTTCTTTCATCTTCAAAACCCTCTTAGGTAGATACTATGGCATGCCCATTTTACAAAGAAAGAAACTGAAGCAACTTGCCAAAGGCCACGCAAACAGCTGAGAAGTGTCAGATCCAGGTAAGGAAAGCGTGTGCCAGGCTCTGAGGTCGTTCTGCCTGGGTTCAAATCATGGCTCAATTGTGTATCCAATATTATTAATACAGCAAAGCACATGACATTATGGCTAACACATAGGAAATAACCAATAGTGTTTGCAATTATTATTAAAAGAGTGGTCCTTGTTTTCTGAGAGCTTAAAATCTATTTCAAGAGGTTGCTTTGATTCATAAAGCATTAGAGGTACCTACTGAATGGATCATTGGACAGATAACAAATTCAGGTAAGTGTTCAGAGGAAGGACCACCCATGAAGTGGATCTGTGTCACAGGTTGCTCAGTGTGGGCTCTGCTTAAAATGCTACATGGACAACTGGCGTTAGCCTCTGATCCTGAGCGGCTTGAGCTATAATTATTTGTGTCTTACTATCATATGGGTCTGTGTGTATGTGTTTAACTAAATTTATAGTAAATTTTCATTAGTCACTAAAACTCTTAAGGAATAGTGTGGTATCTACTTTTTTGGCTGGAGGGTGCATTTATTAGTTTTTTGGAGGAAGTATTTACTAATTTCATGAATAGGTATCTGTAAGACGTGAAGCTCTAGAACATAACCTAGAAATAGCCAAGGTGCTGAGTCAAAGACTTAGCTGGAATGAGGAGGTTGGGAAGGGATGTTATTTTAATGGAACATGAAGTCTGAGAGGGAGCCAGCAGGCAAGGAACCACACTGAAGGCAGCAGGAGTGGCCTGAGAAAAGGCCATTGGTGGGAAAACGACTTTTGCCTTGTGAGAACCAAATGAGGGTGCTTGGTCGGGACTATAGAATTGTGAGTTAGAGGCAGAGTGAACTGGCTCAGCAACAAGCTGTGTTCACAAAGAGCCAGGGCCAAGTGTGGTTTCTTGCCTCTGTGTTCTCTGCGTAAATCATCGGGACTGTGCAGCCTCCAGATGTTGCTGCATGGAAACTTGACATCATGGGGTGAGAGGTAATCTTTGTGCTCGGCTTGTTTTTCACGCTTGTCCTTAACTGAGTTTAATGCTGTGTGTCTGTGTCTACTTACAACTAGAAGAGCCTCTGTCTTGAGTGAAGTGACTCATCACTCTTCTATTTTGCTTAACAGTAAAAGAAGCACATTGTTTTCTATCCTAAAATGGGTTTATATACCTTCACTAGCATACATATCTAATTTCTCTAACCCAAATAGATTTCTTGGAAATAAAAAACAAAAACAAATATTAAAGGTAGCTCAATCTTTCCTATTGTATAAGTCACCACGGAGCCATTACTGTACTTGTGATACTCGAAGTGCAAAATCAAACAGAAAAATGGCTCGGTGAGGAAGAGGACTTGATGTTCAGGGTCAATCCGTGTGACTTCTTCAGATCACTTTGAGCAAATGACCCTTAATGCAATAAAAAATGGCATCTTTGAGGAAAAACAGGTTATCTTGTCTGATAAGGCTGCCTTTACTCATTACATTAATGTTGTTCTGATAGTGCATTTCAGATGATTGTTTTTAATTTTAAGGAGAAAGTCCCAAGAGAACACATAGGCTGAAAAATAGGTCATGATAATACTTGAAAACATACATTTGAGGCACATTTTTAAAAGTCTCTAAACAGTGCAGTGAGATTCTCTGTAAAGGTGAAATTGGGTCCAGGTTTAGTGAGAGGAATGCTTCAGTCCCTTTCTCTCTCCTTTCTTCTTATAGTTTGATTTAAGAGGCTAATTGTTATAGCAAGTTTAAGTGGTATCTCCAACAAATTTCTTGGAAAGAAGGCAGTGAACATGAAAGGAGCTGAAATTCAAGTCAGGTGTGGGTGGAGTGTTAATTTTAAAACAGAACAGCACACCTGTACCTTGGGCAGGCTCTGGAAAACCTAGCAGCATTTGTACCACTCACCTTCTCAGGCTAGTTTTAGTAAAGATTTTTGGGATGAAGATGGAGAGGAAGAAACTGCATCATCTATGAAATGACTCAATTTTTTTTGATAAATTATTCCAATTAACAAAATGGTTGGCTTTTAGGCTTCAGTTCAGTTAGTGAAGCTTCAAGGCTAGGGGCCTGCCAGGTCAATAACACGTGGCCAAGGTCTCTCCCTTGTAATTAATGACTGGGGCCATGGCCAAAATGTAATAGGATGCTTTTTGTTATTCCCTTTTGCAAAGATGTCTTTATAGACACAGAGCTTCAGGAATTTTTTTCCTACCTCTTTTTAAGTATTTCCTTGGAGGCTTCTGAAATGCCTAATTCAGTGGTTCCCAAACTTGCTGCCCATTGGAACCACTTGGGCATCTTTAAAAACTCCTGATGCCTGGTTGGCTCCTATCTACAGACATTGTAATTTACTTCATGTGGTCTGCAACGTAGTGTGGGGAGTCTTCTTAGAATTAATCTTTTTATACTGAAATCATTATAGATTAGTATGATGTTGTAAGAAATAATGCAGAGGGGGAAAAAAGAAATAACACAGAGAGATGCCTTATGTCTTTTACTCAACTTCCCCTTATGGTAACATTTTCCAAAACTAATACAACATCACAACCGGGATACTGACACTGGTCAATATGCAGAACAGTCAAGATCCAGAACATTTCATCACTACAAGGATCCCTCCTTTCATAATCACACTTGCTTTCCCACACACTCCAGTCCCCTCATTTACTTCTGGCAACCACCAATCTGTTCTCCATTTCTACAATTTTGTCATCTCAATAATATTCTAAAAATGGAATCATCCAGCATGTAACCTCTGGGGATTAGCTTTTTTCACTCAGCATAATGCTCGGGAGAGTCAACCAGGCTGTTGCATGTATCAGTAGTTATATCCTTTTTATTATAGAATAATAGTCCATGGTATGGGTGTACCATAGTTTGTTTAACCGTCTTGATCGTATTCAGGGTTTTGCCATTAGGGATCAACTGCTATAAGCATTCATGTAAATTTTTGTGTGTGTGAACATACCTTGTCATTTCTCTAAGATAAATGCCCAGGAGTAGAATTATTGGGTTGTATGGTAGGTGCATAGTTTTAATAAAAGTGCTGATCTATTTTTTAGAGTGGGTAGTAGAAGAAAAAGCAAAATGGAGTTGATATTTTTAAGAGAGCAGTCTAAAGTGGAGCCGAGAGGCCTCCTGGAAGCTCAACTAACACACCTCCTCCATGTGAAACTGAACTTTTTAACTGGGCTAAACCACAAACAGATAACCCTGATACTGTTCCTGGAACTGGCTCTCCATCAGTGACCTCTGTATTAAGAAATAAAATTTCACCTAGCAGTAGACATAAAATGATCAATAATGTACAGCACAGTGTAAATCTGCCCGACAGTAGCAATGACACTTTTGGAACAACTTGTGGAATCCCTTAGGAAGCCCCCCCTTTTTTCTGTCTTTATAAACTCATTTATTTAGCTTTCCTGTTTAGAACACAATTTAGGTTTTCCACCCACATCTGTATGTCCTGAATTGCAGTTCCTAAGATCTCCAAATAAAGCTTCCGTTTACCTTGCTGTTCTTGGTCAAAATGGATTGAGGTTCTATGGTGTCAGAAGTGGGATCCAGAGTGACGTCTGTCCTCCTCCAGTGCCTTCATGGATTCGAGCAAAGTGCCTCCTCGAGTCCACTGCACTCTGTCGTCTCCTCCTCGACCCTGGACCGCTGTGGCAAGTCCTCCTGGACCCTACCCACCGCCTCGGTTGAGGTTCAGGCTCTATTGGTCGTTCTCTATTAGTGGCCTTTTATCTACAGGGCTTAAAATGCCCATCTGGTGAGTAATTACTCTTTGAAAAATGGAAAGTTCACTTTCTAAAGGACTAGTTTCTAGACAGCCACTTCCTAGAACTGCTGCTAGAACTGCTGCTGGATTTATGTACGAAAATTACAGACCCTTGTCCTGCATATTTCTGTCTCATTTGCTCATAATTACCTGGGATGGTTTACAGTTAACTGTTTACCATGGGCTCTTTAGAACTCCCCAAGTTAGTCTATCTGCACAGTCAATTGGAAAAATACTGCAAAACTAAGCAACCTGAATGGGAAGTATATTTTTATTGGCATTTTGAGGCCTTCAACCATGTGATTCAAAAATTGCTTCCTCCCAAAGCACAATTCCTAAATTAACCAAAGCAATTTCTGAGTTGTCTCAGAGACTTCTTACACTTAAGGAGACTTCTAAATGTTCTGATGCCTCCTTCTCTGCACCTTCTGCTCCTTTGCTTCCTGCCCGTCTGCCCTCTCTGTACCCTTCACTTGCTGAACTTCCCTTTTCGAATGGAGCTGCTCCTGCTGCTCCACTTGAAGTTAAACTGTCAGTGGCCCAACCCTATGAGAGACTTTTCTGTTGAGCTTGAGAAACCATGAACAGAGCCTCAAAGCTGCCTAAATGGCTTCATGGAAAAAATACCCGAGGCTTTTCCTTGAGTTACCAATTGCAAGAAAATTCAAAATGTGTTAAAAAAAAACAAACCCAAATGAAACTGTTTTTGATTAGCATGAGAGATTTTAAAAAGTTTTTAAACAGTACTTCAGCGCAGATGAAGTTAATGTTGACGCCTCTACCCCTGTTCATCTCCTAGGAGGAGACATTCTGGAAAGTTCATGCAGCCCATATTTCCTTCTTTCAGAAGGTAGAAATATTCTTACACCTTGAACTTCTAACTCATGACTTGTTCATAGCTATTCCAGTTTTTTTTCAGTCATCTTAACTGACTCAAGTTCTCCGTTATATTCCCTTCCAAATAAACTTTGGTGAAAAAATGCCCCTAACATTAGTCACATTCATTCTGTACCAAAATTGAAATGAAAATTCAGATGACCAAAAGAAACCTCTGCCCACCATTTGTCAACACCCTTTAAATGCTGAGGGCATTGAAGGACGCAAACCTGCCATTGAGGAATATCTCACACAAGGCCTCATCATTCCTTCAAGGAGTGCTTGTAATACCCCTCTCCTCCCTGTTAAAAAATCTTATGGGAGATGTGTTCAAGATCTGGGAGCCATAAATCACATAGCCAT